AAACACGTGCTGGGCCACATTTAAGAGCAAGTATGATGGTGAGATACCCATGCAAGATGTAAAACCTGTGCTAGACACGTAAAGGTGGGTGAGCTGAGGAGCAGTCAAAGCATTTCTGGAGCTGCATAGCACCAGGCAATGCCAAGAGAAGAAATTCAGCTGAAGCTTGCCAGCGAGCAAGGGGAAACGGCTGAACAGTCCAGGCCTTAATCACATTTCAGATGCGTGACAGATTGGAGCACCAAGGTTAAAAAAAATAAAATAGAATAAAAATCAACAAACAAATAAAAAACCCAACCACCAAACCACCACCACCAACATCACTGTTACATTTTGCATTTGGGGTCAATGAAACACTACAGGCTATCAGTCATTAGGAAGGACAAAGGACAACAGAATGATACGTTTCTTGGAGAACATGCCACAATAAACTTCACTGTAGAGAGGCTGGGTACAGGATCTCAGGTCAGGCAGAATGCGAGTAAAAACAAGAAGTAGAGAAGCATTCTCCAGAGCCACATCCTGGAAAGGTGGTTTCTCTTCATTGCTGCAGATCTACCTCTAAGTGCTTTTGAATCTGCTTTGAGTCTGCAAAGTGAGACAGCACAGAGGTGGTGGTAACCATACCTCAGACCATGCATCAGTCCCATTGCTTCACTGGCCAAGACTGTTGTGTCAAGGGAAAGTTCAGGCCCTGCTTCAGATATCTAGTGGGCTGATGGGTATCACCAGCCCGCACTCCTTCCCAAGCTGCAGCATAAAGAAGCGCAGCTTTCATCCCCGAGTACAGCTACAAAATCTGAAGTAGCGTAAATCTCCTAAATCACCAGCTGCACTTTTTTGGGACAGACAGAGCACATAAATCTCCACAGGCTCACTTTCAGTAGGAAGGATAGGCAGGGACTTCTTTTCTGGTGGCATTTCAAGAGCCTTTAATCAGACACGTCATTCGGATTAGGCTAAAGGAAAGGTTTAGTGTCTCTGTTTTGCCAGCTGGCTCACCCCCTTGTTCAGGCTAATCCCAGCGTCACACAGAGACCAGACCTTCAGTGCTTATTTGGATGACAGGACGACCTGGGTAGGGCAGGACGGTCAGTGGTTGGCAAGTTCACACAGGTCTGAGGAGCGCCGGGTTCAGTCCCAGAAGTTTCCATTGCGACCATTAAGCATATATCCCTTGTGAGTCAAAGGTCTCTTAGGGCTGCCATTCTGAACGGCCACATCAGGCATTTCAGGACAAACAAGCGACTAAATCAGGTGGATCTACACTGTTGGTTAAGCTTGGGACCAAGTGCTGAGATGAGACAAGCCCACTCTGCAAGCCTGTTAGTAAGCAGTTGCCTTATCCTGTGCTCTTGTGCTGCCTGGAGAAGGTGGGCACTAGCAGTATCACGGCCCCAGGCTCATTCGCTCAATGGTTTTGACCTACCTTGGTATTATGGGCAAAGTTGAGTGCACCATGTTGCTGTCTGTCTGCAGGTGTTCCAAACACAGCTCTTCCTGGTCACAGCAGAGTCTTTGAACAGACAGCAGTAGGGACAGAAACGCACAGGTCTGGGAGATCAAACATGCTCTTCATCTCAAGACATGGATGTGACCGCAGAAATCAACAGACAACAACTTACCAGAGGCGCTTCCTATTTCTTCTTCCATCCCTGATGGGATTTGCCCATAATAAGATGCAAGCTATGGTTTTCATAGAGTAACTGCCCACTAGGAGAAGATTACCCAAATATGTGTTTAACTTTCATTAGCTGGTGTTCACCAGAGGCAGCAAGGGCTCACCAGCACCCCTGTTGCCGCTCCATCAATTCACCTCTGCAGCTTTGGTGACGGAACAGCTCAAGACCTCGCAGCGATGATATGGCAGGCAGGAGAGTTTCCCAGGTCAAGAGCATTTGTAGAGGGCTGAGAAAACACCACAGGCGAGTGACTAAACCTGCAGATGTTCAAATCGGATCAGCAGGAGTTTGACGCAGTGATGACCATGTTCTGCAGCAACACTCAATGCCAGGAAGGAGGATCAGTGTCACCTACAGGAATGGTGCCTGGCTTTGGCACTCTTCATCCCTCCCACCCCTTCTACTTTCCTTGCACTGTAGGTATACCTGTCGATTTTTTTGCCTCCCTCCAGCCCAGTGAGGATGAAAGGGATGCACAGGGGAGACTGGCAGCCCACAGCAGCTCCCTGAGAAGGGGAGCACAGCTCAGCTTTCTCCTGCTCAGCTGGCAGAGACCAGGCAGAGAGAAAATTTCTGTGGCCTCCCAGCTTCTTCACAGACCCAATCCCTTCAGGGAAGATTGCCAGATTTGACAATACATAAGGCTTTTGCGTCGAACATGTGCGGATTGGCATGCTCGAAGGACGAGGGGCAGGACTCACACATGCTGCTGAAGTAATTGAAGTAGAAAACCTTGGAGCTGAAATCGAGACCCAAAGGGAGGGAGGGGGAACAACCAGCTTCAGTCTAGCCCTTGAATAAGTGGGTACACTATCAGCACGGGTACAGCCACACAGAAAAGCTCATTGCTTAGGTCCTCGGTGACAAACCTGGGACAAGTAGGCACGAGCTCTGCCGTGCTCATCTCCAGCTACGTGCTGCAACCTGGGTGCAGATCACCGCCCCTCGGGACCGGACAGATGCTCAGAGCACAGCAGTTTAGTACGGTGGTCAGTGGAGAAGCATGCAAGGTGGCACGGAGCAGCTTCTGAGAAGTCCAAAGGGCTCCGCTAACGAGTTGCTGTCTGCCAACGCATGTGGTGCTGACTCGCAGAACGCTGTGGTAAGTCCTCAGAGAGTTAGAAGAGATGAGCACTCTACAAGAGGCTAACCTTTACAACTCAGCCAACTGGGAAAAGTCAAAAGGAGCTGGGAAATGCTGCTGGCCTTGTAAAACATTCACATTAGCCAGGTACAGCCACTGACCTCCTTGATCAGTTTGTTTCAACACCATTCTCCCCTTCTTCTGTGCTTCTTCCGTCAGATCATGCTTTTAAATCGCAGCCTATATGGTACGGTGAATAACTCCTCACAGTGCCACTAACAAATGGTTAACGTAGTCAAAGCAACACCCAGACACCACACATCTCTCAGCTTTCTCAGTGCCTCATGAGGCCATCACCCTGACTCAGGGCAGACGGAGGAAGCAAAGTCCAGAGAGGAAAGGCTGATGTCGCCTCTTGCTGAAGGCAGTTTGATTCAGTCAGTAACATCTTCCAAAGGTAACCTTCTAAACGCCAGGACTGCTATTCCCAGGACCAGACGCAGCCATGAAGGTGATGGGGATGTGAGATAGGCCCCTTCAGCTGCCAAAGAGCACGGCATGAACCAGCCATACCATTGGCAGGGGGGGCAGATGTCTCCCTATCTTTGGCCGAAAATTTACCACTGGCCTATATTCAATAGCAACCTGTAAATAAAATAACTTGTATTTACAGGTTGCTCCAGTTTTTATTAACAGGTTGTTATTAACCTGTTATTATTAACAGGTTCTGTTTATTTTAAATGGGTTCATCCATTTTCTGAGTGGGAAAACCCACAAGCGTCCATTCCCCTCTCTTTCTCCAGATTCCACGTATTTCCATAGCACAAGAAAGCACTAGAAACTAGGGCACCTCTCCGACTAGATCTGTCATTGTTGCTTCTGTACAAGCACTGAGGGAAGATATTAGTAAAGCAGCATAACAATTGCTGTCGTTACCTACAGCCCTTACAAAAAGATCTACCTGGAAGAAAACCAGTATTTGACGAATATGGAAGGCATTCTGGTTTTGTTGGACCTGAAACAGCCTTCCTTATAGAAATCTTAGATACTATTTAAGCACAGAACTGGAAAAAAACCATCACAGATAACAGACACAGTCTGTGGATCACATAGCCGTGGATGGTTTTGTTTACAAATTTTTTTGGCTGACTCAAACAGTTTGTAAACGTTTTCAGCTACATGTTTTCAACTCTGTTTTTAAACATTAAAATGCTTCATTGCAAATAGATACCTCATCGTCTGAAAAGAAAATTAGTCCAGAGATAAAACTCAAAGGATTCATACTTCTGCACTGATTTACAAGATATTTCTCCAGCAGATGCCGGAGTAAAACATTGGAGAGGCAGATGTTCGTACTAAGTGTTAACTGCAGCTATTCTTTACATTAATCATTTATACTTCACTGTAACAACGTATTTTTAGCATGGATTTCACTTTATTCTTCAACCCACGGGGGCTCACAGTGCCATGAGTGGTGAAATGCTTAAAGACAGTCACACCATCAAAAAGTTTACATCACAAATAAAGTCAGTTACGGAGGAAGATGGGGAAGGTACATAGAAAAGACACATAAAACAGATGGGAAAAGGACACAGATCTCTCATTCGCTGTTTCCACCACCCATTCCCTCTGGTTTCTCTGTTGACAATGGCAGGTATTGCTTTTTACAGGGACATATCACTTTTTACTAAGGACGGTTTGCAAAGTTAGTTAGAGCACTGGGTCCTGATCCTCCTGCTCAAGGAGGACACGCATAGGGACTGAGCAGGGCCCCAAGCCACTCGTTGAAATGACACCACACCATAAATAATAGCTAGGTACTCTCAGAGCCTCCTCCAAAAAGTCTGGGAAAACAGAAATCCCCCGCTCCACACTCTAACTTTGACCCAGAACAAAGAAAGGGTTCAGAAAGCAGTGAACACACTTAATACTACCAAATCTCCGAGTCTCTCTTCTAGGAGCTTTTGTACAACCAGTTAAGAAGGGAACATATGCAGAAAGTTTGAGGAGAAGAAGTGAGGAGCAAAGGGGAGCCCTGGCGTCTCTGCTAGGGGAAGGCACTGGCTCTTGGCACAGCCAAAGTGGCAGCAGCAATGAAGCAGCATCTTCTTATATTGGCTTCCGGTTGCTGCCCCCCCCGCCGCTGCCCACAGCCAGGGATCGTGTGGGTGCTTCTGTCCCTGTCCCCAAACAGGAGAGAGACAGCGGGACCCTGCAGCTGCCGAGATGAGAAGATGGGGTCAGACATCAGCCCTCCCGCCACTCGGAAGCAAAAGCTGCAAACCTCAAGCCTTGACAGGGAACACACGTGCGCCAGGTTTAAACTTAACAATGTCACGGGATCATGGGATGGGAGACGACGTGGAGGGGAGCGTGGTCAGCTCTCCAGAAGCCCCGAGCTCTGCGGATTAGCAAACCGCACAGTTAAGTTTGCCAAAGCTAAACCTGGAAGGAAAAAGCGAGCGTTTGTGCAAGGATCCTGGGCAAAAGCTGGAGCTCAGCTTATTTCAAACACAGGTTAACAACAAGGATGAGAAGACTCACGACTCGCCAGGGTCATGGGAGTCTGGACAGAGCAGGTTACCAGGGGACACCAGAGCGATCTTCCACCACTGAACCTCGGCATAAGGGCTCAGGTGACTTCCAAAGACGCTGTTGGTTGGGTTTGGGTTGGGTTTTTTTGCACCTAAGGACGACAACAAGGTGTAAAGAACACAGTTGGTTTGCAGGCTTCAGGCTCAGAAGGAGGAACCGACTCAAGCCAGGAGAGTAAGGGTCTTGCTTGCCACCTCCTTCAGCAGATGGCAAGGACTTCCTCCAAGTTGGTGAGCTGGTAGCACTTGAAAGCCATCAACTCTTGTCCCATCACGAACATGGAGTGGGTGTTTGCAGCCCTAATAAGCAGCGCCCTTCCTTTAGCTGGAAAAGGGCAATACCCTGATTCCCTCTGGTGTATTTTTCACATGACTGACCACAAAACTATAAATATCTAAATCCAGAGCTGGTTCAGCTAGACGACTCATTCCCTCCAAGAGAGGAAAACCACAACTTCTCCCATCCCTGGAAAAATCTTTTGTGACTGCAAGACCAGCAGCTCAGATGTCAGTAGAGACGGTTCTGGTTTGCTGATACACCTCAGTGGAGAACATCAACCAGCATGAGAGAGTTGGGCTTGTTTCTTCTGTGCCTCCTCCGCATCTCCAGGAAGGGTGAGTTCTGAGCTTGCTACAAATCCCTCTGATCAGGGCTTTTCTTCTTGCACTAGTCAAAGTGCCAGGCAAATTGCCTGGCACAGTGAACTCTCCAAGAATTGCACCCTCCCTCACAATGCTTAAAAGGATCCTGAAATTCCAGGTGCATGTGAGAATACTGGAAAAACTCAAAGGCTCGACTCTGCAATTGTCAGAAAGTTCTTTGGGTTTGGGGTTTTTTTTGTGTGGTTGTTTTGGTTTTTTTTTGCTTTTTTAACTTGTTCAGGGAGTTCATTTGATTTTTCCCCTGCATTGCTAGTTGGATGCAGCATTTCCATCACCACAAAAAAGTGCTGTTTTGTCTTCCTAGGAGTTGTTATACAACAGACACGATTTCCTCTGGTTCCACTGAGCCCTTAAACATAAGCTAAGTTCAAGTACGCACTTAGGTTCCGTCAAACTCAATGGGATTTGCTTAGATATACTGCCCAACAGTGTTTGCTAGAGCAAAGCTAGTGTCTGTGGTGGTCTCCAGCTCTTGATCTTGTCATTGCCTTCATGACCTTTCCTTTGACAACTGGTGGATACACTGACCTGGACAACTCCTCTCAGGAGTTACCTCATGTAAGCTGTGTAGGCTATTTGCCTGTGACCTTCCCTGTTTCTTGGGAGAGCTTCAGTTCCAAGAACAAATGGAGGCTGGATATTAGCAGGAGGAAACCATGAAAGACCTACCATGCTGAAGCTTTAAGGTTAAGGTTAAATTGTACACAAGATGCTGTAAACTCCCTCTACTCATCACCTAGGCAAACTGTGTTGCCATAGAAATGGGTGGAGCTGGTGACATCAGGAGCACTTGTTTTTAACATTATCTCTGATGTGGAAAGCAAGGGGATGTTTACGTGCTGAAAAGAATGTTCTTTGCCTAAGATTTTAAAACAAACAAAAAAAAAAAGGCAAACTAAAAAAGTGGCAGAGAAAAGCAAATCATGTACTCAAAAGCACATGATCTATACGTTCTCCAAAAGCAAGGGTTACAGTGACATGCTTTAAAATAACGAAAATAACATTAAATAAACTAGAAAGCGATAGCATTTTCTGTTTTCACTGCCAGGTCCTTGTGCTCAAAGTCCAGGAACTTCCTGGAGCTCCTGTGGCCTTGTAGCCTTGTGTATTGGATTACCCAGTCTGCAAAAGGTGCCCATATCATTATAAAGGATGACAAGGCAGTCCCACTGCAGACCTCAGCAACCAAAACACTGGCTTGGCGCCGATTCCAGACAAATGGCAGAGAACCCGTCCTATGTTGGCCCCCGTCCATTTCGCAGAGCGCAACAGATTAATGCAAGCCGCACCACCACTGAGGTATTTGTCAAACATCATGGAGAACAGAAACATGAACAAGCAACAAATCTTACCTTAGAGTTTACACGAGTAGCCCAACAGCTGAATGCCCACAGACCACAGTGAAGCCAGCTAGACCAGGGGTGTGCGGCAATTACTTACAGGACATCTTTACATTTTTTTTTTTGCAGTTATTCTCAGCTATTGAGGGGAAAGCTCCTGATTTAATGAAGCCATCAAGTGACTTTTATAAGACAGGAATGTAGCCACAGACGTTCCTGAAGCCACAATCTGCTGCTACAGCTGTTACTGTTAGGAAGACAGCGGATAGACACACATATCTATGTGGAAAGCATTGCCTACAGGTGCTGTTTGTTGATGCTGTTGGTTCCTGGGGATGAGAAATGGATGAGACATTGCATTTTCCCTATATGTACTTCAAAGGCGGGAAGTGTCCATCCAGCTGAAGGCTGTTTTTTTCATCACTGGACAAAATGATCATACTGGGTCTGGTGGCAGTGAGGTTCAGCTCCCCAGACTAAGTTAGGATTTACTGTGACCAAATTTGGCCAAGAGATCAAAATCCCAACTGTTTGTGACATCTCAGCTGGAAAACTCAGGATTTCCCTCGCTGTGACACCAGGACAAGTCCTGCCCAGGAAGATGCTGGCAGCTAGAGCCCACACAGTGACAACCTGCTCTGCTAACAGGGAGATGCTTTCTGTACTGCCAAGGGCATCCTCCTTCCTACGACAGGAGCTGATACAGGGAACTTGTTGGCTGCCACCAGCCCTTGTAAGATTAGCATCTTCAAGACTTATTTCAGACCCTGTCACAGCTTATGGGTAAGATGCTACTTTGTGATGGTAGCAGCATTGATCACTAGAAGCATCAGCTGTTACTGCCTTCCCCAGGGGTATTGCGACCACCAGCTGATTACTGTAACAGATACTATAACGTGGGGGGGTGTCTGTGCATGCACTCAAACGCAGGGCTGCTACGCTTACTGCAGTTCAGTGCCTAAAGCCACCAGACTTCTGAGTATGTGCAAAACTCTTACTTGTAGTTTCTTTTTGTTTGTTTGTTTGTTTTTAAGAAAAAAGAAGCCTGTTCCTCCAAGCACATACGTGTCTGTCAACTGCAAAAGACAGTTCACAGCTTCAGGTGCCATTGTTCACTTGATGAACAAGAGTCCTGCTTAGGAATTAAATCGCTTTCAACACGGGCTAGCCAGTCCCCTGAGCTCTGCTGCAGACTGGTACCAAATCCAGCCACCGTAACTGGGCTGCGCAATCACCTGCAAGTCCTCAGCAAGAACACCAAGCAGCACAGGGCCCACCATGGGAACACAGCATCCATTTTCTGACCAACAACAGAGCAGATGCAGGAAGGATGCCTAATTTCCCTCTTAAGACTCCAGATAAATCAGGTTTGATCTTCTCTTTTTCTGCTTCTAGGTGTGCAGTCCAATGGCTGGTCTGTTCACGTCCCATCTGATGTCACTGGTGAACTTGGGAAGATGGTTATCCTGCCCTGTACTTTCACACACCCCTACAAAACGTTTGACCGGACCCTCACTGCCATTTGGAGGATCAAGGAACCTTACAACGGCACGATAGTTTTCAAGTGCGTCAGTCAGAGCGCCAGCGAGCTCTGTAAGACTGCCATCAGCTACAAAAACAAATACAAACTGCTTGGCAACCCCCGGCACAAGGACCTTTCCATCAGGATTGACAACCTGACCTGGAGTGACAGCGAGAGATACTTCTGCCGGGTGGAGTTGTCCGGAGATGTTCACGACAAGTGGAATGGGATAAAGCTGCATTTGATTGGTAAGAGGGCATGAGAGAGCCAGAGGAGGCAAAGCCACACTGTAGGGAAGTGAGAGCCACGAGAGGTGGGAACTGGTGAGATGGTAACAGAAGTTGACCTGAGATGGTCTTCCAAAAGGTTGGCTTTTCCAGCCTGTTTTGGGGAGGTAATACTCATTGCCTCCAGCTGTCTTCCAGTATGAGGCAATGAGCACAACGCAGGGAAGGGAATAGGAACAAAACTGGTAAGGAAACTGCTGGGCTCTGGCTGATGGGGTAAGAGCCAGACGAGCCCTGGGCATCCTGCTTTGTCCCTGCAGCACAGGATCTGCGCAGGCAGCAGAGGCAAGCTGGGGTCAGCAGCCCATGGGGTGGGGTTAAAGACATCCTCTTCATCAGAATCTCAACTGGAGAGACTGGGTGCTAAGCACACACTAGCAAATGTAAGCACGAGAAGGCCTGGGTGGTAACAGTGGTCTGGGAAGACAAGATACCTGCTATCCATGTGCCATAGGTCCAAACTCCCCTGGAGCAGGAAATAATAAGTACAAACAGCCTGAAAAAACAGCTTGGATCAACGAATGTCGAGTGCTAATCCCATCTCCCAGGGCGTGCTCACAGATCAGGGGAGTGCTAGGAGACCCAGGTGGCCTCAGGAACAGACTCAGACCTCAGCCGCGAGTGCAAAGGTGCCACGTGTTGGACCATTTTGCTTGTGAAGTCAAACTGCCTTACGCCTGCTGTTCACTGTGGGCATCCAGATGGGACCCGAGGGTGAGCTTGGTTACTTCTTACGAAGTTCTGCGTAGTTGAGGGTCTCCTTCACTTGGAACAGCTCCAAACCACCCACAGACACAGCATGACCAGGGCAGGATGGCAGCAAGATCTGCCTCCCAGGGGCTGCTTGGATTTTAATACCAGAAGAACATACACAGATACGGCACCCAGGCTGCACCCTGCTTTGGGAACGGACCCAAGGGGTTAAATAATGCTGAAAAGGTTAATTTAGGCACCAAAACACACAGACACATGACAAACAACTGACACAGCTAACTTTCTTGTGAATCAGTCCTCCAGCCTCCAACTCCTCCTGCATTACATAGACAAAGGGGAAGATGTGCTGTAGGTGGTTGCAAGCTATATATTTGTTGTCTAGCCTGACAAAAAAGTTAAATCAATATGGAACTCCTGATTTTCATCTATAAGGACGCTCATTCAGTCCCCTTCAGTTTTCACAATGCCTTTAGGAATCAAATGCATTAAATGGGTGGCATTAAATGCATAAAACAGGCCCAAGAGGAGAGGATCGATGAGTAAGACAAGCTTGGTCGTATCAGCTACACTTCCTTAGCAGACTAGACCAAAGATGAGAAGTTCAACACCACGTGCCTCAACGTTTTGCTTGCCCCAAATGATCTTTACCACCGTTCATTCAGTCACACAATCCCATAGGCTACAAACACAGGATACAAAATTAGTGGCCCCATCTTGGTGTGCTGCCCCAAAGCAACCAGGAACCTACACCGGTTCCTGTTGGGCCGTCACTACAGAGTTGGAGAAAAAAACATCAAAATTAGGTCGTAGCAAGGAGTGTAAATGTTCCTTGACAATAATTCACCAAATCTGGCAAGCCTCAGGCACCAAAGGGTCACACAAAAGGATCCATCCATGAGTGCTCGGGAGGTCAGAGACCAAAGGAACGAGGCACTTGCAGGAGAGCACCACGGTTGCCTTGTCCTGGACCACGTGCACGTTCAGCCAGTCCGGGAAGGTCACCGGCTGCACATGTGCCTACGTCGCAGAGGCGCTGAGCTGCGACCCACAGTGCAGCCGCAGAAAGCGACCCACCTGCACGGACGATTGCCCTGCTACAGCACAGCGCCTCTGCCTTCTGCCACCACGCTGAGCGAGGCTCAGAAAACCACATTAAGGCATTACAGGGGTAAAACACAGAGCACACAGCCTTGCACCCAGGCTGGGTGAACCCCTTTGTTCCTCTATCCAGCACAGGCAGGGTGGGGAAATCTAGGGAAACAAAGTGCTGAGAAAAAATGAAGGAGGGGAGGTTTGATCCCAAAGTCACCCTGATGTAACACGCTGAGGGTCCACCAAGACCAAGCGCTCGTTCCAGGTGTTTTGCGTTTGACCTGTCTTTGAAGGCTGATGCACTTTCCCCCTCCCCTGTTGGGGTTTCTGCAGCTGCCCCCAGGATCATTAACATCACCGTCAGCTCCAACGGGGATCGCGCCTTCCAGGCACGCTGCACTGCCGAGGGGGAGCCAGCGCCCGCCCTGACCTGGACCGGACCGCCCTACAGCAACCTCACCTCCATCACCAGCATGAACCACCGCGTCACCAAGGAGCTCCGGTACCTGACCCACGATGGGAAATACACCTGTACTGCTATCAACAGCCACGGGAGAGCAGAGGGGGCTGTCTACTTCTATAAATTCAAAGCATCCGACAGCTCCTTCTTCCTGATCCTGATCTTTGTGCCACTGGGAATTAAAGTGCTCATTTTGCTGGTGATGCTGAGCTTCACCGTTTTCTGGAGAGGAGGTACGTATCGCTTTTCCCCTCAGCACTCTTCCCCCATCAGACCTGTAACCAGCAATGGGATGCGTCAGATGAAGTCAGGCAGTAAGGGCTGGGCTTGTTTTGTTTTGTTTCAATGATTTTATGATTTTCCACACTAGGAGAAGGACATTTCTAATGGGAAATGTAAGAACAAGTTAACAGGGATCTCCTGGCTGGCTGGTCACAGCCTGCAGACGGGAGGTCTCCTACGGGAAGGGACCTTTGAAAAGACAGAGGGAGCAGGAGTTTCCCCGCACCCAAGGAGAAAGGTTAATAAACTAACAGATGGGCAATTAGCGGAGAATCCGCTGCCTGCACAACCAGATTTTCAATATTTATTTTTTCTTGAAGCAGACTAATTACTACCTCTTCCCCTGTAGCCCATAGGCAGGATTTACCTCGGCAGCATCCCACGCAAGAGTTTAATCTCCTGCGGTGGGCATCCTCATTTTACAGACCACCCCTCACAGTCCCCCGGACCTCGCTACCCGGGTTCTTCCCCATCATTTGTGAAATCCCACCTCCCAGCCACACCAAGGCCACAAGAGCAGCGAAACCCCAGCTCCTAGGAGATGACAATCAGCTCACAGACTGAGGGATGAGACCTCCCAAGAAGCCCAGAGGCCGCTGGCCCCCCAGCCCACCACTCCTTCTGTGTGATGACACAGGGAGGAGGGGACCAGGAGGGACTCTGGGGTTCTGCCTCTCAGGCTGGACCAGATGTCACATCACCGTTACTCATCTGTAGAGACAGTCTAATGTCAACACCCTGCAAAAGCCAACACTTGTGTCAAGCTGTAGAAGCTGTAAGACCAACCAGAAATGCTTTGCTCCTTCTATTCCAAGTGCCTAATCCCCACCCCCATGAAGAGGGCCACATGCCTGACAAAAGGTCTTCTCCACCCTCCAGTGCAGCTTCCCAACAGCTCTAGGTCAGTCCTGGCTCCCCAGCTCACTCTGACCACATTGCTAACCCACGTCTTCCTTCCCACTTCACAGGTCCCTCCTCTGCTCCATCCAGCCTAGCCCGGTAAGGATGTCTTGCCTCCTACTCATGTTATCCAGCAGGAGGGTGGAGATAGCTAAGGAGAGAAACGCAACATGTGCTTGGTCTTGGCAACAACCTTCAGGCTCCTGGGACAAGGACAGGGTTGGGCTGATGGCCAGGCAAGCCGGCGTGAGGGACCAAGGCTGGGAGGAGGCTCTGGCTTGGGTACAGATGAGAAGAGACTCCACTGTTGTGAGGACAAGGGACTGGGGCAGCAGGCTGGAGAGACCATGGCACACGGCTAGCAAAGGGCTAGCAGAAGTCTAGGTGGGCCATAGGCCTAGAGCATGGTAGGAAGCCACATTGAACTAGCAAGAGAACCTCCCACCCAAGGGAAACAGGCTGAGGAACAATGAATGAGAGAGGGAAACTGTGCAACAGAAACCTTCCCCTCCCTCTGCACCCCAGTCTCGAATGGAGCAGAAAAAGTGCCCACACGGAAGCTGATGAGCTCTGCCAAGCACGGAAGAAGGCAGGGAGATAGCCCACCTCAGAGCCAGCTCAGGTGTGGCAGGGCCCGGTTCTTTGGCTGGCATCCACACCACACTCCCACAGTACCCCCAGCATTTCCCACTACCCAACACAACACCAGTCTTGGACACTCCTGACAGCTGTGGTGGCCAAGATAGAAAGGGATGGCAAAAAAAACCCAAACAAAAACTAAAAATCAAAAAACAACCTCTAGGCTAAAGCTAAAGAAGCTGAGGTCAGTATAATTACATCTGCCTGGGGCTGCTCCCTTCCAACCTGAGTTATCCCTGTGTGATGCCTCCTTCCTTCACCTTACCCAAGGAAGACGGCCATTTCATTAAGCGTACAGCATCAGGACACAGCCAAATAGGCGACAGGGAATTTAATCCTACGGTTAAATTTATGATAATTATTTGCAAAAGCATAGTTTTGCTAATTCAGCAGTGTCTAAACCATACTGCACCCTTGATTACATTTGTATAGACACATATCCAGATGAAAGCTTAAAAACCAAGATCCTCCATGCTCTACATGAGAAGATCCTTCTCAGGAAAGGTTTGTCCTGAGCAGCAGGACAGTAGCAGCAGTTAATGCTAACTGCACAGGAGATCGTTCTGGATGCTTTAAGATGTAAAATGTTAGATGCAACTCAGACACTTAAAGACTACCTGCTGCAGAAGGGAGGATCCATATCAGACACTATCGCAGACGCTCACTCTGACACTCCTTAACTACTAGCTGAAGCCACTTAGAAAGTCTAGAGCAGCCAGAAAATGTGTCTTCACCTTATTCACTTCTTCTACTGCCAGGGCACAGCCGCAAGACTCCACCTACGAGAACTTTGACCGCAGACACAGCGGCGGCCAGACTTTGCCAGCAGAACGAACAGCATCAAGACACAGCTGAGGACCCGGGAGGTCTCACCTGCGCCCACTTGCTCGGTTCCAACTCCTGTCTGCTCTGTACAAGGCTGCCTCTTCCCAGGGAACGTGAGACTGGCGTTGACTGACGCACAGAAGGTCAAACAGGCCTTGCAGGTGCGTGATTTCCATCCCTGCTGCTGCTTACAAGCAAGAGAAGCCCTTAAAAGGGAAAACAGAAGAAAGAAAAGAAAAAAAGAGGGATGGAGGTGGAAGAGCAGAAGAGGATCTACATAGGATGTCTAATCAAGATCCTGTGATGTTGACCCTAACGATTCTAACCAACTGGCGTGTTTCTAGCCCGTATCAGATGTTTAGTGAGCAGGTAACAGGCTACCATTTTCTCACTTCTTTTTGCTTTGGCATTTTTCAAACATTACTTCAAAAAGCAGTTTTCACCACTCCGCTTGTCAAATCACATGCAGCTTCCTAGAGGCAGCAAGTGAACTACTTTCATGTTTCAAATACCAGCTGCGAGAAAAACGACTACTGTACTTTCTGCTGGGTGGTTGTTTATTTTTTTATTATTGTCATTATTCCTTAACTTCCAGAAGAGTTTATTTAAGAGTTTAAAGGAAATCTTAACTTTCAAGAGGAGTCCAAGCAAGAAGGAAAAGAGGGTTTCCAAAAGCTGGCAGAGCTGAAAGCAAGACATGCAAAGGGTGGTCTCTGTTGTAACTGTACTGCAGTTCCTAGTGCCCATGGGCGCACACAAGAATAATCTCAAGAGCTTTGGGATAAAAGTGCTGTGAAAATGTTACAATAAAGCAAACTGGCTTTTTTTTAAATAAAAAAAAAAAAAGAAAAGCCAAAGAAAATTATTTCTTAACAGTTTCCATCTCTGTGTTACATGATAAAGTTCCTTTAAGGTCTGACTTCTCATCTCTTAAATCCTTCTGAGATGAAGTCACTACTACAAAGCCACTGGCCATCCACAGAGAAGTCTCTAACCCAGAGGTGAACGTGCTCTGAGACCAGGTGAACAGACCCAGCTTATGGTACAGGATGAGGCAAGTCAACCGGGAATCTTGGTAGGCAGACAAAGTTCCAGGAGTGGGCTGAGGAGAGCAACGGTTTGGCATACAGGAGGAGGAGAAAGAATGAAAAGAGAGTAAGTAGCGACAAGAACCTGCTCTCAGGCTTGTATCAACTGGATTCGATGCTCTGTGCAATCACCCCAGTGCAGCAGCTCCAAAACTCTTCCCCTAACAGCCCCGCTTCTGGTAACGGCCACCGCTGGCCGGGAGCCCAAGCTGCTCCTGAATTACCATCAAGCCTGTGGTCCTGCTTGCAAGCTCACACCCAGTCTGGGAATTAATATTTTGAAGTTCATCTCTTCATAACATCTGGACCGAGAAAGTAAAGCACAACTTTAAGTGACTTGGCCAGGACAACAAGGAAAAATAAAAGGAAAGAAACAACAAAAAAAAGCAAGGAAATACTTGAACCCGATGTTTAAAAGCCAGGTTTAAAAGCCCGGTTTAAAAGCCCAGCATTGGCAAAGCCAGGTTTAATAAAAATAGGAAGAGATGCAAAGAGAAAAAGGAAGTTATAGCAGACAGCGCAGTCATGGACCAGTAACCTCAGTTTCACAGGTGTCACAGGAAGAAAGACACCTCAGATATATTAATTGCACAAACTGAATTGAACTTCTGAGCCTTTATGATTCGTAGACACAGATGAGTAATGAGAACCCATTTCTACCCACGTATGGGATTGAGGCCTGGCTTACAGGATTTTTCTCTTGAGAACTACTTCTTTAACTCAAGCAGTTTGGGTCCAAATAGAAGCATCAGACCTCGTGCCCCAAAACCCCCTGGGATGTGCCGAGCGTGCCATGTCAGCGCCCTACGCTCGGAGCGCTGCCAGCAAACCCACGTCACAAAACCGCTGCAGCAATTCAGACGTGAGGAAGCTCACGGATCGGCACTGTTTTGACTTTTACTTAACTCAGCTTCCAGAGCACAGCCCACGTTAGTGCAGGAAGTGGGAGCACAAGGACGCCCAGGTACAGGAACCCGTCACACCCCTGGACGCTAGGAAAGGCACAGGAATGAGCTGGCCTGAATCCTGCCCCTCTGCCCGGTGAGGGACCTCCCAAACCCATCCAAACCCTTGCAAGATCGATCTGCAAAGGGAAGAGCCTGCTCTCAACATTTCCCCCTCACTACCTGCTGTTTCGCCCTTTGGAAGGAAAAAGGTGTAGGGTGATGTGTAGAGGAGAGACCTTGTAATCCACAGAATCGAGGGGAAGGAGCCCACTCCACTGTATGTGCACGACAACGAAGTGCCTACAGGACAGCGCTGTGGGCAAAGCTCTCGTTCCTCTTCTGAGAAACCAGCACAACCAGGAGCCTCTCCAGTCGGGGAACGAGCAGTAATTAAAGAGGTCCACGTGCGGCTGCAGGGCTACAACCTCACTGGGACGATGGAGGTCCTGCCCGACAGGTCACAAGCCTGGACGGAGTGCCGCCGTGGATGGGTGGGCACAGCCTCTTCAGGAACGACGGGCTGAGGGGACAGCGAGGACGAGGAGCTGTCCTTACGGGACAGCACAGCTGGAAGGCGCAGGCCAGGGGCGGATGATGAGCCAGCTGGGCACCCACAGGTCAGCACCAGCAGGACCACGGACACGGGTGATGGCGTGGTGGGTGTCCACTGCAGACCACCTGCCCAGGAAGCGCATGAGGAAGAAGCCCCATGTTGGCAAGCCCTGGTCGTCACAGGGGACTCGAACCACCCACTCAAACCAGTACGTACTGGAGGGGCAAAACACAGCGGGGCACATGCCAGGAGGTTTCGAGCACTGACCTCATTTGGCCCAACAAGTGTCTCCCAGCTCCTCCCCTTCCCCCTCCTCCCCAGTTTATGCACAGTCAGGATTTGGTCATTGCTCCGTTGAGCACTTCAGCTTCCAGACTGAACGATACCAACTTCCACCGCCACGGCCCCTGCGGGATGCTGTGGCGTCAGCCTGCGCAGGAAACACTGTCTGCACGTTTCATGCATCCTGCTGCTCAACTTCTGGTTTTCCACTCCACTGACTTCAGTTAATGCCACATTCAGCTGCTACGTCCATTCCCCTATTTGGCCTTCTTTTCTTAATAAATATTTAAGCTGCAATCCACGGGCAACAATTCCTCCCAGCGCAACCACTGCTGTACGTCACACATCCCAAAAGCCACAGACAGTCACTCTCCAATTAAACTGTACAAATTATCCAAAGGCACACTTGTTATTAGGTGGCTGACATTCCAATTTCACCTCTTTCCACTGCAATCTACAACATTAAAAACACAGTTTTCCTTCTGAGATTACCTGCTGACATTATGAGGCGAACAAGAACCCTGCATTTAGGATAAGAGGGAGGCTGGGACATGCTCAGAACATGAGTCTTTCTAGTAAAATTAGAAGAAAAGTCAATCTGTTGGGCACCATTTGGAGAATAAGACCCCAAGCTCTGGAGTTACATTTGCAACAGAAAACTGCCAGTGGATTTGTCAGTTCACAAAACTGCCCCCTTATATTTGAGGCAGGCACAGGTTCAGGCTTCTACCACTACTGTGCTCACCAAGAAGCCAGAAGATTGGGTTGTGGGCGACACATACAGCAAAGGCAGTGTCTCACAGTAAATTCTCCCTACTTCTTAAGGCCTACCATAGAATTATTCGGAGAGTACTTTAACCACGATAAAACAAACAATTTTCAGCACAATTATTAGACTGAGAAATGGGAACAAAGTCAACAGCATCATTTCTATAACTCTCCAAGCAGTAAGTTATTAAAGAAGCTGTTTCAATGGTCAGGACAAACAGACACGATGACGGTCTCAGTGGTGTTCGCTGACCGCAACGACCCCAGCCTGGTCCAGCCCTGCCCACCAGCAAAGCCCTCAGCAAGAATGCTCTATCACCAGCACTGGAGGCATAGTTTCCTCCAACTTCCCTCCACACTACCAGCTTTCCCTTCATTTGGGATAAACACCAAAATTCCACAGTCTGTGGAAAGGACAGAACGAGTGCATTGCCCCACGGTCATGTTACCACAGGGGTCTGGGGGATTCTGCCAGGACAGAGAAGCATTATTTCTGCCATTACATCAATTACCTTTTGCCTGGGCTCTGGGCACAAAAACAGGCTGTTGTGTCACACACATGTTAAATCCAGGACACCAAAGGGAAGAGTCTCCAGACCTCCACCAGCTGAGCAACTGCATGTCATTCCCTCACCATACTTTCCAAGAAAAATTATACACGATGCGGATTCTTCCAGCGAGATGAAAATATCATCTTGGTTGTGACAAAATTACTTGATTTTTCGTTTTTTTATTTTGCATGGTCTTTGCAGACATAGCATGTTATAAATACAACACTTGTAAAAACTCAACAGCTCAAACAATACCTCATTTTAAAAGTGCGTGTCAAACATACATTTCTGACTTTTTCACATTTTTATGCAACTGATCAGTAACATTTAATCTAATAAAACCAGTGCTTTTAAGTCTTTGGGGAAAAAAAAAAAAAAAAAAGCAGCAGAATATATTCTTCCAGACATGAATTTTCTTAAAGAGTCTGTTAAAAAACATGCTGCAACAATATCTGGTCAATATACAGAGGGATGTACATATGTATATATATATATTTATAGGCTCGCAGATAGAGCAAAGAACTCTAAGACCACATTAAGATGAAGGTGATCTAGTGACCCAGCTGGCACAGTTAGCAGAATCTGTCAAGAAGAAAAAGGTGATTTGTTCTCCAGCACTGGAGCCACAGTTAAGAGCCAGACTTCAAAGCATTATTGACCAGACAGTAGGTAGCACATTTCCTTCCCCTCATGACCATAACTAATGTTTTAACCTGTAACCATGTTCTAAACATAAAGGCACAATCAATGGAGGAAGAGAAGCAGCGATCGTTGTTCCTTCATAAAGGTGTACGGATTGGGACTGCAGGACCTCGGGCCCCCTCAAGTGGATCAGTGATAAAAGGGACATTAGCAAAGGGACTGGGGAAAAGCCTTCTGCTTTCCCCGGACAAAGGTGCGTCTTACGGTCAGACAAGGCAACAAAACCAGTGATCATTCAGCTGAAACAACAGATTTACAGGCTCATGGTTCACGCTTTGGCAACAGAATTCTAACAAGTGATCGCCAAATTTAATACCAGATAAATACCTTTTCACAGTTTCATCTACAATCCTGTCATGTCAGACCCAGCTAGGCAGAAAAGACCAAACTTAAGTGGCCAGTGTCCACTTGTTAAATCAGCATTTCTTAAACAACCAGATTTCCAGAATTAAGGAATCCTATCTAACACGAGCATAACTGACTGTTCTCCTCCCAGATGCTGGGGATCCAGAAAATCTGCCTCTGGATTTAAATCACCTGACTTAGAAAGAACTTGGCTAGAAGTTACTTGCGTTTAATCAAGCAATATGGATGCAGACTCACTTTAGAAAACAGGAAAAAACAAAGTTCTTCAGTTCAAAATTTAGTTTGTATTTACAGAAGTGGTAGAAGATTGTAGGCATGCCTTTCAACTACAGACTTCTGAGGGGTAACAAGAAAAAGTCAAAAATTTAAAATACTATCTTTCCAGATACAGGGATTTCACAAGTCTCCAGACACACACTCACACAAGACGCAGAGGTATCCTTGCTAAGAAAGTCAAAACCTCTTTTATACACAATCCTCCACTCACTTTGAACTGGCCTGAGTGACGACACGTTGGAAAATAAAAAAAGGCACAAAGGAAAAACTTAATACGCTACAGGATGAGCTTTGCTGTCTAATGATTTGTACAGCTATCCCCAGGTATCCTCCTCTCGGATGCGCACCATACACAGGAAGATATTCAAGTGTTTTATGTCAACAAAAACTAAGCAACTCCCCAGGCCCACAAATCAAAATAAAAGAAAGAAAACCTTAAAGAGGAGAAAATTTGCCAGTGTGCAGTTCCCATTCACACTTCTGACTTAATTAAAGTGGAACTCTGAAGGTAAAAATTACTTGTGCAATGACAACGTTATATGTAAACCAGAGTAATCGACATTGCGTGATGATTCTGCGAGCTCGGTGCTGCTATCGTATGCTGTCCAGATAATGCACTTCTGGGTACAGAGTGTTAATAAGGAGAGCCAAGAGATTATTGCCATCTCGAAGACAGTGTTCTGGATGCTTGATGAACTGAGAAGCCTGGGAGAGCTGCTCTTGATAATCCACATATTGCTTGTTTGATGCCATAGTTTCAAGAGCACTCAGCGCCTACAGATACAAGGGAAAATTCTGTTAGCTGTGGGTACTTTGGCCCATAACAAACCAGTTCATCAGTCACCATACGCACAATTCCACTAGAAGATCCTTATCTAAAGAGAACTTAAAGAGTATTTGGAACAGAACCTTTGTAAAACACCATCACATAACAGTGTTTCAAGTCAACTCATATTTTTCCAGCTGTTCTCTCCCCGAGATCAACACAACCACTATTCTATCAAGGCTTGCTAGGATTCTGTACCCCAAATAATGTCCAATATTTACTTCATGAACTCAAGACACGTGGTTTCAAGGAAATTACACTGAACTACAAACTGCAACACAGTTATATTCATAAGAACAACCTGAAGTGAATAGTATTCGCCTTTCATAAAAGTATTATTTTGTTCCCATTAATAATATTAGAGACAATGCCAAGTTAGAAATTATATGTGAAACGAGCCTACGCTGTCAGTACCGGCCAGGACAAATGTTGGAGACGTAGCTGAACAAGTTTCATTCTTTCTTAGAGAACAGAAACAAGTTGTACCAAGTAAGTTACTTTGCTTTGGTTTCTAATCAACTCCTCCCTCTCCTCACGCACTTACTGAAACAAGAACGTGGTCAGGGCACATGCTAGAGAAGGAATGTTTATTTGTCGTAGGGCTTTTAAGCCCTGATCTCACATAAACAAACGTTAGTGTAAACGCAGCCCTGCTTTATCACCGAAAAGCAGCGCACTCACAGCAGCATTGCTTTTTCCCGTTTTGTTTTAAATTCCTTCTACCTGCGGTGTTCCAAAGTTTCTGAACTCAGAAACTCCTACAAACCTAAGTTCATCTGCACCTCCCCAGTGTATAAGATTAGAAACTGATGCCTTCATATTAATACCGAACGCTGTACAAACAGTTTCACCTAGGATCACTTTAGGTTAGGACTCAGACACACAGTCCTGCTGCCAGCGTTCAGCAAACCCGCATCACCACCTGGCCTATGCTGCACCTGGCTTTGTCTCTGGCGAATTCCAACACAGTGTTTTGATGTACAGCAAAACAGTACACAAGTTTCTGATGCGCCCCCTTCCCTTAGAAGACAAATGAGAGCCACAAGGTATTTCTGAAATTCAGAATTTAGAGCGAGGAAAAGCAAAGATTGATGGCATTCAGCGCTGAATAAAGCCAGCAAGCTGAGCGCAGCATTTAGCTTCAAGAAATGCTTCCAGCGACTCTGACAAGGTTCACCCCACAAGCAGAGCAAGCACGCAAAGGAGGGCCACGTCAAGAAGCCACCAACTGGCACACGCTACCTGCTGGGCCTTCTGCGACAGCTTCGGCTCTGACCCCGCTTTCAGGCGGACTTGATTCTCTGCAGGAATCTGCACCAAGAGGAACGCAGACAAACTGCGGGCAACCACACGAAACCTGGCACAGGGAAAAGGACGGAGAGAGAAGGTGATACCAATTTTGCAAGCCCTCAACAACAGGTAAACCCGAAGTTCTATCCTGTAAAACATCCCTCCCATCTCTTGCACGAGGAACACACTGAAGGCTTTAGAGGACCTTTTCCAATGCGTTAAAAAACATAAGTCACCAATACACACATAATAGGATATCATACATACTAGAGGATAATATAATAGAATACATACGAAAGGCTACATCTGTTCCAAGCTTAGCTGGAGCCTGGAGGTCACATCCAAAATACTCCTTCACTTCACAGCCTTTGAAACGTTCTTATCACCCAAATGAAAGGAAGAGCTGAACAAGACTACGATTTCAAAGCAATTTCAACAGGATTGCAACCCAGAAGGTCTTTATAAACACAAAGCTATGTTTAAGTACTATGTTGAATTGCTGTTCCACAAACATTTACCTATTTTTTTCTTGGCATTCCTTCCACAGTGAACTTGAATTTAATACCCAACAACCAAATGTGGTGTCTCTCTTTAGAAGGTAAAGTGAATAACAAGAAAGCACATACTTCTCTGAGCTTCGCTTAACATTTCCAGCACCTCAAGGTTAAGATGGAAAAGACAACATGCATGTGATCATACAAAACTCTCGTCAACTGGAACAGTCTTCTACAGACCAGGTGAAAGTATATTCCTCTAACAAACAGTCTCCCTAGAAACTTTGCTGGAGAGGGACACCCAGCCAGATTCACAACTGCATTTTCTTTCCTTTTCCACCACAAACTTCGAAGAAGTTCATATTCACTTCTTCATCAGATTAAAACAGTCACTATATTTTTTTATTGTGATGTGCCCCAACAAGTTTACGCCATTTGGGGACAGCACGGATTCAGAACATCTTTTGACACTGCAGTGTGCAGTCTGGATCCAGGCTGCAGCTTTTTTTAACATGACGACTCAAATCAGTAAATTTACCACACCTTCAACCCGTACCTGGGTGACAAAGGAGACCTCCTGCCCAGCCCAATTGCTCCAAGTATTCCAGAAGTCAGCCTCTCTTCAGCCAGCTGACTCTGCCTGCCCTGGATTGACAGCAGCGTCCGAAGGACAGATTCAATCAGAACGGTGTCACCTTGCTCCATCTGGATCAAGGACAACTGCATGGCTTTATGGCACCAAAGAAACAGCTTTGCCTCTTCGTTTGCTGAGCTTTAGGTAAGATTTAAAGAACAAAATAAAACAAAACATAAATTTAAAAAAAAAAAAAAGTCCGACGCACAGGTTAAGAGGTCTGTGTCTCTCCCCATTAGGCCCGTAAGAATTCAGATGGTTAATTAATGACAGTTGATCTTACTATATGAGGACAGCATAACTATACTACCCCACCAGTTATTACACTGCTGTAACTGCTGTTGTTATGGATTTGATGCAGACATCAGCTATCAGGGTTTAAGGACCTGTAAGAGAATAAAGAACAATGCTTCCTTTTAAGCTTTACAACTGAGAATAAATGATATTGCAGCCATAAGTGGATTTCAACTTGTCTAAGTCTTGGTATAAAAGGAACAAAGCTGTATATCTATTTTTTTTTTCCCTTTACTTACCAATAAAATACTTTAGGAAGCACTAGCTGTTGTTTCCACAACAATTTAGACTTTTAATATGATCTTCTAGAAAAGGAAACATTGAAGGTTTTTGTTGAGCAAAGCACAAAGTGAAGTTCCCCCTACACTGTTTTTAACCTTCTCCCAAACAGTTTGCAGTTTAAGTTAACAAGCTCAGATTTTCCACACAAAGCATCAGCACGAGTTTCCTGCACCAGACTATCCTCACATTACTCCGCAGTCATTTCCCATGCCAGCCACCCTCAGCTTTCACGTTTAGAGCAAGTTTTAATTTGCCACGTATGGCAGCTTTGCTGTCTCCTTCACACTTTGGCAATCAAGTTACCATGGGACCTACAACAGTGGAAGTATTCCTTGAATTTCAAGAAACAGTGGGAACATGCATTTTCCCAAAATGTTCCTTCACAGCATTATCAACATTAATATGGTAAAATATTCACTGTATTTGCTAAATTCTGACTATTTCAGCAGTTGTCACATACTTTAAGTACAAAGTATCACCATTTTAACCCTGAAGCTAGCCATCCTTTCCCCCCAGAACCCTATTATCTAGTAAGTTGGTTTACAGTGATACAGGCCCCTAACTCTGGGCACTTCAGGTTTGGTTCAGAGCAGCTGAACAGTCCCCCCATCCAGCAGCTTCCAACACCAAGTCACTCAAAATGTCAAACTGAATATTTAGCAGTAACTCATCCCACCTAGTGGATATTCTGGAAAGTGGAACCCACAGTGATTGAGGGTTTGCTTAAAGTAATTTTAACAGAGCACAAATCCAGGCTGACATTGAAATCAAGCTTTCCTGACTGAAAACTGACCAAAACTGCACCAGAAGCGTTCAAGTAAATAAAATTCCTTCTTCTGTTTAACCACAAGAACCATTAGTGTTGCCACTGCGGTTGGGCAGACTCCCCAACAGTGGATACGGAAGGACTGCCCATTTCATCCAGCAGCCTGGTGAAACTAACCTGATTAACCTGGCCACCTAATTACACCGGCTATACAACTATAGCCTTATTTAAAAGTCAAGGCACATTCAGAAGCCTTGGGTTTCGTACCTTGGGTATACCTGCTCCAGCCATTTGCTGATGGTTAGCAGGATTTTCATTTCGTTGGCAAGAGTTTGGTCAGTGTTTAGGCATTGCAGCAGGTAGACATAAAGGGTCAAGTAGCTTCCTAAAGACAGACACTCCTGCAGGAATTCTTCCATGGTTAGCTCAGGAACTTGGAGGGAGGCGAGTATAGGGCCCCAGCCTAAATCCTGGTGGTGAGGATAATCTACAAAGCAGAGGACAAAAGGATAGAATGAAGAGGTGTGAGAAAGCAGGACTTATCAAAACCGAAGAACTAGAACTACTTCACTGTCTTCCTACAAGGTACAGAATTTGGGCTGGTTTAGCTGGTTTCCAGGTAACCAGTTCGTCACCAACTCTAAGAGTGGAGCTTTTCTTTTCTCTCCATCATAGGGCACCTCCTTGAGGTCAAGGAGAGATATTTTCCCAGCATTCACTCAATTAAATTTGAAAATTTGAGCAACGGCATTTTAAATATTTCCTTCAGGCGTCCTGAAATCTGATCACACGGAATGTGGAAGAAATCAAAATTTCCACAAGGATTATGTAAACAGAAAGTTAAAAAAAAAAAAAAAAGCCCCACACCAAAAAGACCACACGTCAAAAAAACTCCCACACCACAGAATTTCAGAGTTTTACCAATCAAGAGCAGTTTTTTCTTAAATTAGCCTACACAACACTAGAGGAGGGGAGAAATACCCATCTAGTTCTCTGGGGATGATTCTTTTTCTAAAAAGTCCTCCCCTTTAGCTGGAAAAATGGCAACAATTACACAAAGCAAATCAGTTTTCACAGAGACTAGTATAGTCCTTACAAAAACACACAACCAGAGCAGTTGCAAAACCCGAAGCACAATGGCCTAACTTTCCTACATCTCGTTACTACAGCAGGTATATGTGTGACAGTTGGGAGCCATCAGATACAAAGAAAGGAGTTCTGATTACGGAAACCAGATTAAAACCCAGTTCCAGCAATGGGCACCGTAAGCTGTAAGAATTCCAGACAATTGGTATTTAACGGGCGTTTGTATTTACCGAGCACCCAAGACTGATCAAAGCTTCCGAGCCAAGCAGCAGCAGCAGACGGGCTCCTACCTTCGTTGAAATAAGCAGTGATACAGGCTTCTGTCGTCTCTGCCATGTGCCGCACGGAAGCCAGGCTCTGACACGCCGCCGTGAGCAGGGGCATGGCGAGCAACCCGCGCACCTTCCCGCCGATCCACTTCCGCAAGCTCCCCCGCAGCGACTCGGCCGTCGTAACGCTGGAATTGTTCATCATCATCAGCGTTTCCGTAAAGAGGCTGCTGAGGGCCATGTGACGTGTTTGCAGATCCATGTCTGGAAGCCAGAAACAAGAGAACCATTTCAGGAAATTGGCACTAGAACCCAAACTCAGCTTCACCACGGGAACGCTTCCTGTAGATACTGGGAACACCCTCGCGCTCATTGCACACCTCAATTCCTTGTCCTTACTGCAGTAAGACACGCATTCCTCGCAGTGTCTTCCCTTGATGAGATAGTTCATCGTTCACTAAACGAAGACACAGCTGATAAGACTGTACAGCACAGCACTTTGGGGCCCATCTTTCACCCAGGGTCCTTTACCATGACTATGGTGCAAATAAATTGAATGATAAAGCATGTTTACAGTCTCCAAGAAAAGCTGGGTATTAAAACACACTTTAAAGCACAGTTTAGAGTGAAACAACCAAAATTCTAGATTATCCAATTTGAAATATGACTGTGATGAGCCCTGAAATATCGCAAACCCTTCATGCCTTTCCAGGATTTCAGATTTCCTACTAATCCCAGTGTTCAGCCCCAGAATAGTTTTTGAAACCACCTCCTGGCATTGCCTGAACATGTTATCATGGGCTACCTGTAACAGCACCCTCGAAGCACAAATGCTTCCTGTGCTTGGCTCTTGAAAGTCTAACCACAGAGTAGACCTTTTGCATATTGATGAAAAAAGGCACTATTGTTATAAAATAAAATTTTCAAGCAACATCAGGCATTGTGGAAGGAAAAATTTCAACTGATTATGAAGACAAGATGTGCACAAAGAGTGGTTAATCACTGGAAAAACATTGCCCGAAGAGGTTGAGACCTCCACACTTGCAGATATTTGGAAGCTGACCAGACAAGGCCCTTGAGAATGCGATTAAACTTTGAAGCTAGACGTGGGTGGAGGACGAGGTTGAACTACAGGCCTCCAGAGGTCCCTTCCAAACTAAGCTATTCTGTTTGAAGCACCTACTCACTCAAAAGAAAAAAAGAAAAAGACAACAAAAAAAGTCCCAAATGTAATTTGTCATGGCATAGGCCTCCAGTAAGGTAAATATCTTATCAGAGACCAAACGAGAAAGACAATGCCAGGAGGTTAACTGACTTACCTCAGGTCACAACCAGTTTTACAGCCAATCCCACTGCACAGGCTGCAGACCACCGAGCAGGACCACCACCAGACACCAAGGCCCACCAGATCCCCTTGCCCAGCGCCCATGTGAGAAGTCCAGCCTTCTCCTCTCCAGCTGCCGCCAACAGCAGGTGCTGCCCTGGAAGCTCTTCCAAGAGCCTCCACCAGCCCCCTCCAAACCTCGCAGCCTGGCTGAGCCACATGGAGCACTCTCCCTTTCAGCCCTTCACCACACACGAGCATGCACAGGGGTTCACAAAACAGAGCTGCTCCTCTTATACTGGAGCTCCTGGGTCTTCCAAAATTTCTCAGCTACTAAGAGTGTCAGAAGGAACAGTCAAGCCTTCACTTCCCTTCAAGTGACAAGAGTTTTGCTGACTACGGGGCTGTCCTACAGAGCTTCCCCAGTGAGCAATACAAGTACTGACAGACAGTGAGCACTCACAGACTTTCACACTTTCTGTTCACTCTCACTATCAGGCCTGCACGGGTCGTGTGCAGGAAAAGACACAGCTCCTGTGTAGTACAGCAAGACAACTCATTTCACCTGAAGTTTTAGTTTGACAGAGGAAGCTCAGGATAGTACTGGTGCTAAAAACGAGATCAATATAAATGCTGTGGGTGTGGACACACCACACTACTAGGGCACATCAACATCATTCCCCTGCTTCAATACAGTCAGTTTTCCCACTTGCACAACAGTTCAGAAACCTTTCTTAGAACTCAGTCCCTCAGGACGAAGACAGTGTATTATTTGTGTCATCCTTCCTTTTAAAATGCAAATGTCAAATTAAAAAAAAAAAAAAAAAAGATTTAACAACCAGGCAACAAAGAAAAGAATCCCTCAAGCTCCTGCATACTGGTCAGTTTTACTCACAACGTAACCCCTGTTTTTTCTGTTAGTTCTATCACTCTTGACAGCTCTGTGGGGCAATGTTCATATATTTGTTTTGTGCCAGTATAGTACCTATATATACACCATCAAAGCAACACGCCCTGCTGCCCATAAGGGAGACATTACAGTAAGGCAAGCAATTACATAGTCACAGATGTCCAACAATCCATGCAGTACAACAAAGGATCTTAACAGCTTTAAAGTAGTTCGACACTTCTTTGACACAAACCTGGAGGATTAAAGATGACTACATCATCTAGCAACTTGGACATTTCTTGTTCCAAAACCGCAAGAGTAATCTTTCCGCTTTGTTCTAAGGTGCTGAGAAATTGAACCACCTGGCGAATGTATGCTCGGCACTTCAGTGTTGCATCCTGGTAACCAAAATGAAAGTCAATTAGAGAAAAGGAAAAAAAAAAAAAGATCACGTCTAGAACTCTTTCCACACTCTGTAATATACAAAAGCAGAACACTGCAAATGACAAGCACAGCTCAGAGAGACTGCAAAACTAGTTTAACTTACAAGGTGGATGTGACTATCGGAAGATGCACCAAAGCCTGCTGAAATTTTCAGAAGCTTCACTATCAGTTCAGCTGCAGCATCCTTAGCAAGGATAACAGAGGGAGGGTAGTGACTGTTGCAGTAGCTGATGATGCTTTGATAAGATGAAATGCCCACAAGCTGCCAAGGAAGGGAGCTGGTCTGTCCAAGAAGATTTATGAGTGGCGATTCCTGAAGATTTAAAGACATCAGTCTCAGTTTTCTTTGCTGTTTTAAATTAACATTCACAGTACTCAGTATTGGAAGGAAGCCCAGACTCCAAAATTTGAGAGACAGAGCAGAAACCCCACAGAAATAGGTGACCACTGGGAGTCTGGCTGAAAAGCAACTCCTCATTCAGGCAGCAAGCCAACACATGTATGATCTCTCTAGCATTCACCTAACAGTACTCAGACTGCCGCAGCAGCTCTAACCAAGCACAAAAGTCAGCGAGAGACATGAAACTTTGACATGTAAACATGTAAAGAGAGCTAGAAAGAAATGGAGACCCTACAAGGTAAAGTAATTTCAGCAGAGGGTTAGAAAAAGATGTTAAAAGTTATTTTTTAAAAAAATTACTAAGTTCACAGTAGAACCAGGGACAGAAACGAGGTCCCTCAATTTTCTATTTGTGGTGGGTTGGCCCTGGCCAAGTACCAGGTGCCCACCAAAGCCACTCTGTCACTCCCCCTGCTCAACTGGACAGGGGAGAGAAGAAAAAAAAAATACCAACAGGCTTGTGGGGTTGAGATAAGGACAGGGAGATCACTCAGCATTTACCGTCACGGGCAAAACAGACTCGACTGAAGGGAAATGTAATTTATTACCAGTTAATTCAGAGAGGAGTAATGAGAAATAAAACCAAATCTTAAAACACCTTCCCCCCACCCCTCCCTTCTTTCCCGGGCTGAACTTCGTTCCTGATTTCTCTCCCTCTTCCCCCCCCAGCGGCGCAGGGGGGGAACAGGGAATGGGGGTTGGGGTCAGTTCATCACTCAGTTGTTCCTGCCGCTCCTTCCTCCTTGCCACACAGACCCGTTACACCGTTCAGTGACTCATCTACCAACCTGGGGGACTCCTCACACGCTTACTCCCACAAACACCATTCTGAACAGTACAGCAGCCTACAGTGTCCACAGCTCACACAGGCCGTGCAAATACGCAGGCAGAAAAGTCTTGTCTACAAGCAGCCTAGACCCAGCTGCCGCCATTCTCCTCTCAAGGCTTCATGCGCATCTGCAGCACAAAAGGGCACCCCTCGGACACTGAGAAGCACCAAATTTCTAGACATTATAGAATGAACAAACTGACAGGCAACGCAACCTGAGGACTGTAAGGATCCAGAACTAACCCAAACTAGACTACGTCAACAAGAATGTGACACCGGTACATCAAGTACTTCTCAAGTACCGCTCATGCGCGGGAACGCAGGGCTGAGGACGTTTGGGATTTAGGTCAAGGTGTCACAGGAGCATTCTGGGAGGTAAAAAGTGAGTGATGGCGCATCAGTTTAACACATCGCTGGAGGCTAGGAGGGAATTCCTGAGGCTGACTCATGCAAACGGGTATCTTTTGAAGCTTGAGAAGCTTCTGATAAGCAAGTACATTCAGGTCAAAGCACGAGAACTCTGGTAATTTTCCTAAACTGGAATACAGTGTTGACCAAAGGCTGCTGGCAACATCTTGACACGGCACCTCATAACACCTCCGAGGAAATGGAAAATGGAAGATGCAGCAAGTGGGAGAAAGCTGGCAGATGTGAAACGGGACTTCTTGAAGATTACCCAGCCCCTCTGCAAGAGTCCTCCAGAAGCAGTGGACTGAATGAGAGACTGCTAGGTTTACCCACACAGAGCTCTTAGCAAAAGCAAGGCTTGGAAAGTTCATCCTAACACCCAGTGTTTCTCTTCCCTGTTCCAACAATTCAGAAACACTGGAATGCAACCGTAGCTGGGAAAAGCACTAAGAAATTAGAGATGATCAAATTCCCCTTCAGAGCAAGGGAACAAGAAAACTCAAGCTAAGATTCAACAGATGAAGTAATATGTCCCCAGAAACTCATCAGAAGCAGATAGTGCCAAGCTTCTTAAAGATATATCCGGTCTTCAGGATGTTGTTACATCATTGTGACCTGTCATCACATCATACGGAGTTAGGAGGGGAGCATTTTTACAGTAAGAAATAGTCACAAAAGCAATTCTGAGTAAGGACTGAACAACACCTATTTATAACCCCTGAGAAAGCATGTTCAAGCAGACAAATATTTTCTTTTTAGTCAGCTATGAACAAAAAACCAAACCAAAACAAAAGAGCTCATATCAAGTGCTGCTCCTAACCTTACAGGCACTAATCCCACTGCTGAGCTGTGCTTAACCAACTTGAAGTGTGACCAGTACCGAAGATCAGGTTGGAAAACATCACGAACATGCACAGTAAGACATAGCAGCCAGGCACAGGCTTTTCATAGACGAACGATTCCGTACAATCCCTCCACACGTTCGTGTCCGCCACTCAGAAAAAGCAGCAAGGCACGGCAGAGATTTACGTGACTGGCCGTGACGGAATAAAGGCGACTCAGTGAGCCTCCCAATTCTTCTCACAGCACCACAGGTGCTGCAGGCACGAATGCCACAGTCAAAGCTGCTCCTGCACTCACATCGGCAGGCTGCCTGAACCAAACCGGGCAGACGCCAGGCACCCTTTTCACTCAGGCTGTCAGAAAAAGCTTCACCTAAAGTTACACATAATATCGTGCATATATATGCATGCACAATACATATGCACCGATACGTAAGTGCCCATAACATGTACATATATATGCACGTGTATTATAGGTGCACATGTAAATTCTTGCTAATACTACCTCTAGTTTTCAGGTGCTTACAACAAAGGCTCTCCAAAACCCTGACAGAGAAGGAAACAGATATTTTAATCCAGGGCTGGCCTAAGAGACAAGCAAGCTGTACCATGCAGCATCCCACATTTAACGATGAAAGGAAAAACAACTGCACAGTAGCTTTATGTAACAACAATAATTTTTCAAACACTAATGAACTAACACATATTCTTTCTTTCCAAAACCCAGAGTTTCACATTGTAACTCCAGGAAACTGCTATAATTATTTGTTTGCTCTTTACAACGCTACTGGATCACTGCACCTATGGAAGTTTCTTAAAATGAACAACAGCTCTTCTTTTTTCACACCAGTTACATAAAATGCCTCAGTCTTGGCCATCTCTGGAACGCTATTTGGGATATTTTACCTATAGAAAAACCACTTCTGAGTTAATCACACTGCAAGCGAGAAAGAAGTCACCTCCTGTGCCCTTGTTAGCAAAGAATTATTCTTCTAAGACAGACAGGTATGAACCTCTCCAAAAATTACCTCTTTGCCTATAAGTTGTTCCTCCTTTGCCAACAGGACCATCATATACAGCAAACAGACAATCATGTTGTGAGTCTGAGGATGAGGGCTGGGATTCCAGGCATCAGAGAGGACACTGACCCAGTTTATCTCACATAAAACGTAACCCAAAAATAAGAAACAACTCTTGGGGCTGCCTCTTTCAATCTAGGAAAGAAAAAGAAAAAAAAAAAAAAGACAGGCACATAAAACAATGTAAGATACAAATACTTTCACACTTCTCAGTGCCTTAGCCAGCTATAAATCCACAGCAGCATTTTAGGTCAGCAGAGGAGCAGACAGATGCCAGTTCTCCATCATTTTGCCCCCCACCAGAAGAGTCACACATATAATTTTTTAAGTCTCTCAACCAGTACAGAATACACAGCTACTGCAAACCAGAAAGAAGTAATCTATTACAAACTCTTAGCTGCATGACTGCATCCATCTCTCTCCACTCAGAGAGAGATTAAAACTGAGCCTGCTTAGAACTGCATGAAGAACGAATCCTAACCAGACAAGCAGTAAATCCTGAAAGCATTTCCAAACTTATCTGCAGCTTTACATTGTCTCAGACAACTTGAAGGTGAAAACATGGTCATAGTAAAAGTTATTAACTCTAAATACATGTAGGTAATAAATGAGACATTGAGATAGAGCAATGACAGATTACACAGACTGCCAGCTTTACAGCTCCCCACAACTTTGTCTAAGACTCAGTAGCACCCCTTCACAAAAATCAGTCACAAAACGCGCAGCTGTGAACACGACAAACGAACTTTAAAAGCTCACTCGCTAAAAGAACTGTCTCCAGCTCTCCAGCTATTTTCAAGGGCAACACTGATTATCAACTTAATTCAACAGGTGCTGTGTACTCACTTTAAAGAACTCTTCCATAAGCATCTGGTCTGGATGCATTTCCTTCCACGGAAGCCTTCTGAACTCAGTATGGAAAGCATAGAGAATAAACTCTGGCATTTTGGGGGCTGTGCAACATTCGCAGTAATGCATCAGATGTAACCACAGAGCCCCATGGTGGCTTGGCAACAGCTTATCTACATTCAAAGAAAACAGCTGAATTAACAACAGAAAAAAAATCAGGGAAAGCTCGATTACAGAAAGAAGTCCAGTTTTGAAGATGAAGAACCATAAACGCAAGTTACACTAAAATTGTAACATTTGTCAAAGTAAAAAAAAAGGGCACATTAAGCTTTTAAGATTTTTTTTTTTTCCTCCAAATCAACACAGGGGAAAGCTTATGATTTCATGCCCTTCCTCGATCTTTTGAAGAGTTGCTGGACAATAATCTGAAGTTATAAAATACTCCTTCCATGTAGAACTTCATTGGTTTTATGTCGGGTTGGTTTGGGTTTTCTAAAAAGATCTTATGTATCTTGAATTTCATAAAACACAGAATAACGTGTTATTTCTAGTTATTTATTTTTACAAGGTAAGTTTGAATCTAGTTCGTCCCTAAAAGTCACTAAGAGGTACTGTGGAATTAATTTTTTCCATTTCTGTGTCCAACTACACATGAAACAAAGAAGTGCTCCTGGCACTACTGCAGTGATCACCTTGGCTGAAAGTTCATAACCAATAAAATCCCCTCACGTCCCAAGTCTCAATGAAAAAAATTCTTTTTTGGTCTGATAGAACAGAAAGTGCCACACTACATTAAAATAGCATGGACTTCACCCACCTTTAAAGCTCTCATGCAGAAGCTTGATGCAATCTGTAAACAAACTGACCACGGTGGCTGCTACAGGAGTGTCGCTCTCTAACCAAGGGTAGCAGGGCTGGTTACTTAAAAGAAGCGAAGCAACACAGATTTCAGTGCAGTTACCAGACCATAAACACTTAAAACTACTTAAATATTTTAAAGCACAATCGATCAATACAGTAGGTAGCACACAGTAAATCGATACAGTGGGTATCATCAGTCCCTTCAAATTCAACTCTTTAGGACTGCCTGTTTCTTCCTGAGAAGAGGTACATGTTTTAACGTCACGCTGAAGATCTACGATACCACTGAGAAAGCAGAGATTACTTGTTTAATATTTCATAACTGAATTAAATACCAAAACACGGGAATTTCTGAATGACGGCACATATCACCTGCAGTTAACCTTGTAATTAAATGTTGGAGATGTGCTCGCAGCTCAAAAAGCTTTGGACTTTGGAGGAAATTCAAATTTAAGTGTATAACATTACAAATAACTCCCCATGTGAAGACAGCGGTACACAAGACAGTAGATCATCATAGGACTGATTCGGTCCAAGATTTCATGAAGTACCACTGTCATTTGGGGTTGTATTTGCTTGGCTTTTTTCTTTTGTTCTAAACTAAGGACATGCTAAAAAATGGAATCTGGAATTTAAATTTGAGCGTTTCCACAACTAAGTGCGATTCATATTTTTCTCATCTCTGCTTCCTGACCAGAGCTTGGTTATATTTCCTGTATCTAAAACTCAATCCAAGTCTTGGAAAACACAACTTACAGAAATAATTCATGAGTTCCTTAATTGTTAAGGATATGACACAATTCACAGCTATTTAATGGAATGTCACAATATAGTCATGAATTAGAAAAAAAAAAAAAGAGTTAATAATGAAAGTCATTCTTAAGGCTGAAGTCCCTATTTTAGCAAAAATTGATTTAATTTTAAAATGCAAGACATACCTTGCATCTTCCTTATCCAAGACCAGTATCCACGGTTTAAAGAGTCCAGCAATGTCTGAATACAAGGACTGCAATGCTAGAAGAAACAAAAGGAAGAAGTTGCTTTTTTCCTTCAAATCAGCGACAGTGAACATATTATACTTTTCAAAACTTGAATACAACGTCCTTTGCTTATTCCAACACTTAAACAGTTCTTCCTGGTCAAATGAAAATTTAAAATACCATACATTTATTAGTAACTCCGGTTAACGATATGGCTGGTTTAATAAGAATCGTAAGCGTTTTGCATCTCTTTCTATGTTAATATTACTCTATCACATCTGAGATTGTGTGGATAATGGCGATTCACACTTTAAACCTGTATATAATAAAATAAAAGGTGTTTTGGCGGTTTTCTCCAAATCAAAATCACACCATGATGAAATTCAGCAGTCCCTGGTTCCCAAACCTCCGCTCTGTGCAAAAGACTGTATTTTTCTTTGAAGAAAGTATGATCTCCTGATGAAATAATTTTAAAGCAAGCTCAAATCTAAACAAACTTCCTCCAACAAGCATAAAGATGAAGCATAAAGTCCCACACGGCCATGAAGTAGCATCAGCATTTCCCATCTGTCTTTTAATGTTCTCATCATTATACAAATGCCAAGTAAGAAGATTTTACTGCACTTTTAAATGGTCTTTAACATCAGAAATCCGAGCAACTGAGTGCCTGTTCTTAAGTGATTTGCTTTTAAGACACATTACCTGCTAGAATCGTGTTACTGCCAACAGGCTCTTGGGCTAAATTGGCAACTTCGGTGTCAATAAGTCGTTTAATAAGATAATCCAGAAATTTATTCACTTCAGCCACGTAAGGACTCCATTTTGAAAACAGGCCAAAAGTCCTGAAGTCCATCGAAGCCAGTCGGAGTTTGCAGAAAGATGTGGAAAGCCATTCTATTGTCTCTCTAACCTGTAAAAAGAATGAAAACACTAATCAGCTACAGAAAGACCACACAGCAGTGTTATTTGCCACTGGTGGGCACCTGTTTCAGCTGAAAAACACAATAAATCAACCAAAGAGGCATCCACCTGTTCTGCAGAGAAGAGAATTTTTGCAGCATCCCGCAATACAGGACTTTCAGTAGAATCGCTTTTCTTGAAGCTTCCCTGTTCAGTCACCGGTGAACCACATCCCAAAGCTTTAAGCGATGCCTTCCAACAGTCAGGGCTTAGGAGCTGCTCTGATGAGCCTTAGGAGAAAGAGAAGGGAACGCATTTGTGAAAAATCAGGAGAAGGATATTAGTCCCATTCGCAACACGAGTCAGAAAGGGTTGAAAGAGCTCCCTACTACATTAAAAAATTAGGTAAGGCATGAATTTGAAAGCCCCAAGTTTAAGGGCGAGAGGCATCTCTGATTCCCAAACATAAGTCATTTAACGTTCACTTTTGGCATCTACATGCTCTCTTCTTAGAGAGTTTCCCAGGCACTTAATGCACCCCTGGCTACAAACACCTATGAAGAGTCAGTTGCTGCCTCAGCACATACGGTTTGACAGAAAGCAAGTACTTTGTTCTCATTTCAGAGGCACAGCGAATCACAGGTAGCATCTAACGTCAACCAGGACATCCTCAGCAGATTTCAGCATCTGTCCCAGGTCTCTACAATTCCAATTCGCAGTTCGACCTCGAAGGGTGCTCAAGAACAAGGATGTTGCATTGCAGGCTGTGACATAATCGTGTTTCCATTTACAGAAACCTCTCCTCCATCCTTCTCCTGTACTATGGGCTGAAAACCTGTTTGTCACCGATGCATGTACTCTGACCTGCAGAAGCGTTTTCTTCCAGCAGAGCTACAACGTCTCACAAAAACATACCACACAGCATGCACGTAAAAGGGCACACAGAAACTTAGGAAAGTTTAAATCATTCAGAATTTGTTGCTCTTTAACTCCACTGCGCACAGCTCATATTTTTAAGCCAGCAGAGTTCTGTATGAAAGGCTTCGTATGCATTGATTCAGATACTCACTTTGCACGAACAATCTTAGGAAATCACTATAGTGATCAGGGAATTGATACTGGAGAAGGTTAGTCCAATGCTTGCAGAAGATATTAAATGGCATCAAAATATCTTCTTCAGGTTCAAGGCCACATGCATTGAGAGCCAAATGAATAGACTCCAGAAGCTTGGTACGTTCAGAGAGAGGTGGCTTAGCAACATTCAACCATTGTGTAAGGTCAAACTAGAACAGAGGAAAGGAAGCATTTGTAAGCAGAAGCTTTAACAGCCACAATACATTTAAGAGAAGGGTGAAATCATCAGGGGGAAAAAAAAAATCTGAAAGTTTTTATACATTTAAGAAAAACCTAAGGAATTTGCACCTTGTTAGCCCTAACTCAAAACCAGGGTAACGCTTTCCAAAGGTTATGATTTAGCATACTGCAGAAGTCCCTGAATTTATGAAACAACCCTTCACAGGCGTTCTCGGATTCACGAAAATGGGCATGAATTCCCACACTTCAGTACCGCTGCCAAACACAAGATTGACTGGACTAATCTCCATAGTCCATAAATTTTCAGGTGGAGGTGCAAAGCTTTTGTAGCCTCTAGGCCATCTGTTCAGACGTGGGTCAGCAGGGACAACGCTGATCATTGTCTCTAAGGACAGCTTAGAGTTATGCTCAAAACAGACTGCCCGCTATTCACAGTTGTCAAACCCTATCTCTGCCTAACTAATGAAGAGAACCAGAGCAATACAGATATATACAGATAGATAGACAGACAGATATACACCCTATAATAGTAGTTTCTCCACTGACAATACAGGTAGGCAGTATCATTCAGCCCTGAAACAAGAGATGTGCAAAATCACTTGCTTTTACCTAACGGTGTGTTTTAAGATACGCAGGAAGGACATGGGTGCCAGAGATGGAAGATTCAGACCCTGTTTCAAAATTTTTTTTTCCTTTATTTTTAAGATACCTGGGATTCACTAGCTATTTTGACAAATGTCTCTGCAGAGCTCTCAGGCAGAAGAAGCCATCGAGAGCTTGCTTTAATTTCAAGAGTAAAAGTGCACTGAAGAGTTAAGCCTTATCTGGTCTAGCAAAGGGTAGTTTAAGCTTCCCATTTGCTTTTGCCTCCAGCCCCTCTTGAGCTTAAATACAACACATTCCATTCGGGATGAGCAACATAGATCTACAGAGACTGTCAATGTTATTTTAAAGTGCCAGATTTGCACCTCTTTCCTTCCTTAGCCTAAAGACACATGCCCACAAAAGCAACCCACAAACCAGATGCAGTATTCATGAGTACTCTACCTTTGTCAGCAGCATGAAGACAACATCGCTGTTATCCTCACTCAGAAAGGCTACGACTTTTTCATATAAAGTCACAAATTCACTGGGAGAGGCAACTGGAGTGAAGTAAGGAGAAAGGAGGGTACAGAGCCTTCGATTCTGCAGGATCGTCTGGAGGAGACGTTTGCACTCCGACTTGGTCCCACTGATGAACACCTGAGGAAATTCGGAACGGTGAGAAAAATGGCCCAGTATGAATCTATTGGAAAACACACCTCAGAGCTCTTTGTCGAGACAAGCATAATTTTGTTCCTTTTTTGAAAAGGAAACTTTTCTCAAAAACAACAGACTATATGAGATCAACATCAACTAAATACTGCTGTTTCACAAGATATAACGTAAAATTTTTCCCTAGCACACTTAAGAACAGCACTTGTGACCACACATGTTGTCTAAAAATACCCAGAAATACAATTTTTCCGATAGGACAGCAAAAGGAAACAAATCCAGATTTCAGCAGCAATTGGAATAAGCATTAGGCATCCAAAAATCAGAGAATAAACTCACTTGACCTAGAATCTCAATGCAGGATGTGAAGAACTGCCTCGTGGGGGGATTGCGTTGAGTTTCATCACACACATATTCCACTAACGTAAAAAACAAACTAATCCCAACTTTCTTAATTGCAGGCATAGGCTGCACCTTGTAGATATTTATTAAGGCCCTGAAAAAAAAGAAAGGCAGATTAAATCTACATATGGAAAATAACCCATGACAAAAACCAAAGGTTTCTTGCCAATATATAGCCTTGAAACGGGTATTTCTGGCTTACATGATAATCAAGCATGGGTTCACAGAATTGCAGCATAGATGAGGTTACAAGGGATCTCTGCAGGGCATCTGGACCAACCACCTGCCCAAGTAGGGCCACCTACAGCTTGTTAGCCCAAGACGATGTCCAGCTGGCTTTTGAGTATCTCCAAAGGTGGAGACTCCACAACCTCTCTGGGCAGCATGTGTCACCCCTCAGTAAAAAAAAAAAGTGTTTTCTCATGTTCAGAGGGAACCTCCTGTGTCTCCGTTTGTGCTCATTGCCTCTTGTCCTGTCACTGGACACCCTTGAAGAGAGCCTGGCTCGGTCTTCTCAACATAATCCTCAGGGTAATCAGCCCCCTGAGCTGGAGCACAGGTGACCAGAAGGATTCCTTCATAATCCGGACAGCAGTAGTTAGTTAGTTGATGACCTGCACTGCCAACTGGACACTCACAAATCTATGAGGCCAGATGAAATCCACCCGAGAGTGCTGAGGGAGCTGGTGGAGGAACTTGCCAAGGCTCTCTCCATCATTTATCAGCAATGCTGGTCAACAGGTGAGGTCCCGGAAGACTGGAGGCTTGCCAATG